GAATTGGTGTAAAAAACGACCGAAGTGATAGATAAGATCCGTTAATGGATGAAAATAGCTCAAAGCGAGATAGAAAAGCTATGTCGATAAGAGGAGGAAGGATCTAGAGTTTATAGTCGGTGACTACATATTCCTAAAGGTTTCATCAATGAAGGGTGTACTACGATTTGAGAAAAAAGGAAAGTTAAATCCGTGATACATAGGACCATTTGAAATACTAGATCGAGTAGGTGATAAGGCCTATTGCTTGTTGCTACCACCATCGTTAGTGGGAGTACATAATGTATTTCATGTATCCATGCTAAGGAAGCGCGTAGGAGAGCCGAGTCAAATTCTAGAGACAGAGCCGTCAAATCTTACCCCGCATTTAACATATGAAGAAAGACCAATCCAGATTCTTGATAGGCCAGTCAAATAATTAAGGAATAAGGAGATTGGTCTAGGTAAAGTTTTATGAAAAAATCATAACTTCCAAGAGATGAATTGGTAACGAGAGGAAGAAATAAGAGATAAATACCTAGAATTATTCAAATGAGTCCATTTCGAGGATGAAATTCCTTTAAGTGGGAGAGAAATGTAACCCCCGTAAAGTCCTTAGCCATATAAATATACACACAAGGATATTCATACGTAAATACATTGAGTAAGGGTGGAATTTATGTGTCATTTTAATGTTTTGGTGATTTTATGATGCTTAGTGTTTATGTGAGGAATTAGGGGATGAATTTTTAGGTAAGTTAGCTAATTACCATGCATTTTCTCTAGTGTGTGTGTGTGTGTGTGTATATATATATATATATATATATATGGAACCTATTATATAAGTGAGAAAGGTATGTTACAATGTGGGGAATGTTGGAAAATTTTTAGGAAGGAAATTGTCGAATTATTGAGGAGAAAATTGCCGAATTAATTCTTTAGGAGGAATGGTCGAATTTTTCTAGGAAAGAAATGGTATGTCCCTTAAACTAAACTAGCCTAAGGATTTAGTTAGCTTAATGACCATCTTTAGCAACTAACTAGACACCTAAGCACTTCATTTAATGTAATTGATGACAACTTATCACCTTTGACTTCTAAATTGCCACCTTGCCTTTCAAAGTCTTTCTTTACTTTATACTTGGACAACTTAATTAAGGACATGTGGCATACTAAATAATGAAGGAAAATGGAGTATATATATAAGAAAAAGATGAAACCTAGCCATTTTTTTTAGTGAAATCCATAGCTCACCCAAAAGAAGAGAGAAAACATCATTGAGAGGAGAAAAAGAAAGAAAAGCTAAGGAAATCCTTAACAAACCTAAACTAGGTGAGTGAGTTTTTATCTATGACATCTATTTGATGCTTAAATGTTAATCTATGTAATTGCTTAAGCTTTTGATTATGTTGTGTTGTGTTGTGTTGTTGTGTTGGTATTGTGTTGGATGGCTTGACATATAATTGTTGGTTGTTATGGAACATGTAAGGAATGGTTGATATCTTGCTTATTAAGTGTGGAAAGCCTTGTGCATGGCTTTGTTTGTGTATTGATAGGTTTGATTGAAAGAATTGGGGCTTGATCAAAACTTGGTGGACTAAATTAGGATTAATATGAACTTGGACAATGTAAAATATGAAGGAAAAAAATTAAATTTTAAGGTTTTTCCTAAGGTAACTTTCAACCAAAATGGGAAAGATGGAACCTTTTTGATACTTAAGGACTAAAATTTTAATGGTGAACAAATTAGGTTTGATTAGTCATTTTGAACAAAAAGGAAACTTCATATAAAAGCAAAGGACATTTCTTACAAAATTAAGAGACCCATTCGGCCCAAACTTAGAAAAAAATGGGGTTTTGGGTTCCATTAAATTAATTTGGTCATTAATGGTTCAATTAGGCCCAAATAGGAATAAAATTGAATTTAGAAAGGTAAGCTTGCCAAAGAAACCGAGATTTTGACTTAACAACTAAATTCGGCCTAAAAGTGTTAAAATCGAGGCTAGAAAGTAAAATTATACCTTACCATGTTGAAAATTGATCCAAATGCTAATAATGATGCAATTCAAGTGTGGAATGATTTAACAACTTGATTGACTAAACAAAACAAAAAGGGAAGTATTCATGTACACAATTAGATCCACGACTCAACCAATACCAATTGTCGATATTTGACTCTAATGAGGTAAACATTATGATAAAGGATCAGAGAATACCTAAAACCATGTGTGGGTTGGATCTATAAAAATATATGAAACCAAATTCTGTATGGGTTGGATATGTTTAATATGATAAATGTAGCATCACGTGCATCATGTTCATTGTGGGGCGGATTGAGAAATGTCAATTAATTGAGAATTAGTTTACATGATTAAGTTTGGTAACCTAGCAAAAATAAATGGGTATTAGTGGTCCAACTGTGTGCATGCTCTAATCATGTATGACTGCACTGTCGGACGATGAATTCTTGCTAACGAGTGGCTCCAACAAGGGATAATTTTATTATTAGCATTAGGTGATTTAGTAATCACCAATATAGTAGATTTGCTAATATCTAGGATACCCGAAATTAAAATCTATGAGTATGGTGGGAAAGTCAAAAAAGCATTACATATCACGTCCATCACCCCACTTATCGAGCTTCGACTCACTTCGTTGTTATTTCCATGTTATGACAGAAAAGGGTCAAAGTAGCAAGGATGTTGTCGGTTCCTCCTAAAAAGGGCTCATACGTGACATAAACGTAATGAAGTTTATTTTGATTGTAATTTTGGGTTGGGTTTTGGTGGACATTTTAATGGTATTGTAAATAATTTGTAATTTCTTTCGCTCTATTTGTTAATGTTATGTAATTATACTATACGAATTTCATTATATAATGTGCCCTTAATGTACGAGCACATACGAATTAGGGATTAAGTCGAGATTTGGTCATGTCGGCATGATGCGTTCCTCGCCGGCCACTCCTTTTGGATAATTAACGAGTGGGTCGGGGAGGGGCGCCACATGTGATTGGACCAATAAACCTCAAAGCTAGTAATGGTCATCGATTCATCCCGATAGATATCGATTACTTTACCAAATAAGTGGAAACAAGCATCCTTTACACATATCGCCCAAAGAGTCATGCGTCGATTCTTGCAAAAGGACATCATCCGTCGATATGAACCCCCAAGAGACCTTGATCATAGATAATATGCAGAATTTCAATGGCAAGATGATCATGGAATTATCCAAATAGTGAAAGTTGTAAACAAGAATATAAATAAGATCATATAGAAATGATAGTCACATACGGAGATTGGCATGAAGTGTTAACGTTTACATTACATGCTTATAGGATGGTAGTGAGGACGTTGACCGGGGCAACTCCTTACTCATTAGTATATGGAATGGAGGCAATAATGCCCATGAAAGTGGAGATACCATCTCTAAGGGTATTAAAAGAAGCAAAGCTAGATGAGTCAAAATGGGCTCGAACCGGTATGAACAAGTTGAATTTGATCAATGAGAAGAGGTTAACAACTATCTATCATACACGGTTGTATGAAAAAAGAATGGCTTGTGCATATGATAAGAAAGTCTACACAAGAACCTTTTATGAAGGGGATCTGGTTTTGAAAAGAGTATTCTTGATTTCGGGGTTAGAAAGAAGTAAGTGAACACCTAATTATGATAGCCCATATATGGTGAAAAGAGCATTCTCGCGAGAAGCTCTCTTCTTAGTGAAGATGGATGGTGAGGTCTTGTCGAAGCCGGTGAATTTTGACATTGTAAAAAAAAATGATCCTATAAAAAAGGAAATAATCGAAGTATGTTAGATATTTACTACTTTAATCATTTTACCTTTACTTCTTGTTTCTTTTTTCCATCCCATATGAACGATCCTCAATTTTCAATCCATCAAAATAACCCACAATCTCACAAAGGTGATCAATCCTCGAAAAAAAAATATTTTATTGGTCCCATGTGCAATCTTATGTTTTAATGTGATTTATGAAAAATGATAACATAAAAAGAATAAATGACAAAAATGATAGAAAATTTATTAACCCTTGATAGATTAAAAGGTTTTTCATAAACCTTCATGCAAAAAAACAAAAAAGGTGAATAACAAATGACGATGATTGAAGGTTACCTTGACAACTCCGGAATGCACTCACCAATATGTAATGGTAAGGAATAAGACATTTGGGAGTGATAGACTCGACTATGTGTGTAAGAAGTCTGTTGGCTTAAAAAAAAATGATTCCGGAGACATACAAGTAAGCAAATAAAAATCCACAAGAGTAACCGAGTCTAGAAATCATGAGCCTATTCCAAATATAATAGATTACAATCGGGAGGGAAGTGTATGTTTTAGCGATAATAATATATGTTTTTTTACGTATGTTGGTTACACTCGAGTGCATTGCCAAGGGAAGCTTACTATATGACCACAACGACGATTATCCGTATTAACTCGTATTTGGAGGAAAGCCATCTACAATAGACCCCACCGATTGATTTATTTGTTGGTCTGCCTTTTTATGATTTTCTTTACAAACTTACTATACATAGCTAAAGAAAAGTTAAAATTTCAATGGCTTCGCGTCGTAAGCTTTGTAAATAAATGGCAACTATTAACACCTAATTTTAAAAAAAAAGGAAAAAAAAAGAAAAGAGAGATAAATAAAAAAAATAAATAAATAAAGTAAAAAATACAATTGGGGATGCAATTAAAAATGAGAGGAGAAAATGATCAAAATAAAATAGATTTGCAAAATGAGGGACCAAACTAAATTTTGGCCAAAAAATCCCTAAAAGACCGAATAAAAACACCATCTTCTCTTCAAATCGATAGCTATTATTATTCATCTTCAAAAAATTTACCTTAGCCGCCAACTCTCCCACACCCAAAGCATTCCAACCACCCATATCATGTGCCCACACACACGACCCCTCTACCCAGCCTACTCACACAAGCCATAATCATCCCTCACACGAACAGAGACACCCCAACCATGCCCCAAGCATGTCTCTCACATAACACGGTGTTCTCCTAAGCCTTTACCGGCCAATGTGTGTGCATGCCTCCAACGCCGGACACTACACATGTCCATGCCTCCCAACCATAGCACCCCGCGCGCATGCCTCCCAACCATAACACCCAAGACCCAACGAATGCCTCGCTTGTCAACGCCCACGTGCATACCTCCTCCAAGCCACCCGTGTGAACACCTAACCTCGCATGCCTCGCTCGTTAGCATCATCGTGCTCACACCTCCTTTAGGCGACCCATGCGCATGCCTCTTCCAAGCCAAGCCTTATATGCACGTGCACGACCCACACGTCACCCTACTTTGAGCCTTCTCCAGCCCAACCTCTATCGCGTGTGCCTCCTCCAATCAACCTATCCATACCACATGCCCCACATCTACCATCGATTTTGATCAATAACCAATCTAGATCTAACTCGCGATGCATTCAACAACCATCTTTCCTCCTTGATTGATTAAGTATAAGTCTTCATCGAGGTTGAAAAGGTTTAGATCTAATCTTAGGATTGTTAAGCAAATCCATCCAGCTCATTTTTTTTATAGTAAACTATTTTTAACTTGTCCCTTTATTTCTTTTTTTTTTTTGTGTATTAAATGTGATTCGTATCATTATGTACCCGTAATTAATTAAATGATTGTTTTATACAAATTAACTTAATCTATGTTGTTTCACGTGTGATGTATCTAAATTGTGTTGGTGTGTGTTTAAATTAAGGTATTTTTGTGTTTGTGATTGGGTGGATGATGATGCCTAACCTCCCATGCCTCGCTCACTAGCACCCACGCACATGGCTCCTCCGAGCCGTGCCTCCTACGCATGCACACGACCCATACACCATGTAACCCCCGTAAAATTCCTTAACCTAGTTATACGTACCGATATATTATATCCGTATATATAAAGTATTAAGTGCAATTAATATTTGGAGATAGTAATATGCTTTGTGCTTATGTGAGAGTTATGAGATTAAAAAATAAAAAATAAAAAAATTTTGGCACTTCGTAATTTTAATTCTAGAGCCAAAATATCTCTTAAAATATCATTTGTTATATGGGTATAATTTATGTCATTTTCTTTTATATTTATGGTGTTAAAATTTCTAAGGTTTATGAAAGTATTTATAGGAATACCCTTTTTGGGAATTTAACTAGCCATTATTTATTTTTCCATAATGTTATATTTAAAATGACCATGCAAGTAAAAGAATTACCCAAACAAGGTGCATGGCCAAAATTTATGAACCAAATGGGGTAAGGACGTTAGTTAGTTTGGTTAGTTTAGTTACCTTTTTAGTTCCCATATTTAGTACTTGATTTGACACCAAATCTATCACTTTTTCAAAAAAAGTGAAACCTAGCCCACTTGGATTTTTAAATGGTCAACTTGTTCTTCCTTTTTGTCCCATCATTTGACTTCATTTACCATAAAATTTTGACACTTGGAAGGTTAATAAATGAACGGAAAAAGGTATGATATAAATAGAAGGAAAGCTTAAAACTTTGCCATTTTTCTTTGCAAAACCATAGCTTCCATATTGAGAGGAGAGAGATGGCTTTTTAAGGGAAAGAAAGAGAGAAAAGAAAAGAGAAAAAAAGGAAGGAAAGAAAGAAAGGAGAAAAAAAGAAGGAAAAATCTAGGAATATTGAGCAAGCTTATATCATTGTAAGTAGATTTCTTTTGGTTTCATTTTAGTTTTATTTAAGCTTTAAGTTCTCTTTTGCATGTTTGATTTATGGGTTTTTGTTTTAACCCATGTAATATGTTATTATGATGGTCTTGTGATGATGTATGTTTTGGTATGGTGATGGATCTCATATGGTTATTTTGATGTACATTTCATAGTGGACTTTGTGTTGTGATGCACAAGTATGTGATGGATGTTTATGCATGTGTGAATGGGTTTGATTTGATGACAATCATGTGGGTTGGAAGATGTTTGTGTGGATGGGCTTGGATTAAGATAAAATGGTCTTGGACTAAGATAAATGAACTTGGATTAAAATAATTAAACTTGGAGTAAAACCATAAGACGGATTAAAAACTAGATGGGCTTGGATTAAAACAAATGGACTTGAATTAAAATAAAATAGGACTTGGATTAAAACAAGATGGGCTTGGATAAATATAAAATGGGACTCGGATTAAAACAAAAGGACTTGGATTAAATCAAATGGGCTTGGTTTAAAACAAGATGGGCTTGGATTAAAATAAAATGGGCTTGGATATCCTAAGAACACTTATTGGGCCTTAGTACTAAAATGGCCAAGTTGGATTATGTTTATGGATCTAAAGATCTAGACTTCCAAGGTAATCCACTTAAGTAGAATTTATTACATTAAGATGGAAAGAAAGGACTTAGGAACAAAAGACAAACATTTTCCCATAATTAACCCATTCGGTTAAAAACCCTAGAATTCGGGTTTTGAATATCATTCACCCAAATTATGAATCAATGGTTTAAATATATCTAAATAAGTATAAAATAAAGTGTAGAAAGGTTAGATCCTAAGAAAAATGAAAATTTTGGTTTTTACTAGAAAACACTTGGCTTATAGCCTACTTTTGAAAATTGAGTTTCCACCACCCAAATTCAGGAGTAAAGGTTTAATTGCATCCTAAGGGAGATAAAATAAAGTATTAGAAGAAGAGAATTCAAGAAAAATCAAAATTAAGACCTGGACCCACTAAAATTATAAGTCGACTATTAAGGCTCAAATTAAATGTCATTAAAGCTAAAACTAAAATATGAGACTTGAGTAAACCTAATAGATGGGTTATGTATTTTTGTACGAAACTACTATGAAAATATTGGTGAAGTCCTAAGTGTGGATTGAATTTATAAAATGGTATGGGTATAAATAGTTTAGTGCCTATGAGATATGGAATCGGCTCATGATATATGAAATGAATTAACTCTATTAGATGGGTCTTGAATTGCTTGTGTGAACTCAATGGTATGGAATCGAAAGGTCTAGTACCTATGACATGGTGGAATGTGGTTCATGATACATCACGTGCATCATATGCATATGGGGAATTAAGAAAACCATTGAGTCGAAAACTATGAGGTTTGGTAACCGAATCAAATGGAAATTGGATAGATTTAGTAACTTACTCGGATAAAAAGGGTATTAGCGATCCGAGTTGTGTGTGTGCTCTAAGTTCGTGTTCCTACACTCGTTAGACGATGGATTCTTGCTAATAGTGGTTACAACGAGGGATAATTTCATTATTAGCGGAAAGTGAATCGATCATCACTTGGATTAAAAATAGAGCGAGACTATTCTAAGATGTGTGCTTACACCGTTAGACGATAGACTCCCGCTAACGAGTGGCTACAACGAGGGATAAATTTGTTATTAGTAGAAGGTGAATCAATCATCACCCGGATTAAAAATAAAGTAGACCTACTAATACCTAGGGTACCCGAAATTAAAATTAGATGAGTCAAAGTGGAGGAAGTCAAAAAATCATTGCATATCACGTGCATCACCCTACTTACCGAGCTTCAACTCACTCTGTGTTTATTTTATGCCATGACGAGATAAAGGTGATACTAATACCGATAATGAAGCTTATCGGTTCCTCTTAGAAAAAGGCTCATGTGTGACACGACAATTATAGGATCTACCTTTGCTTGTAAATTATATTTTGTAATTTTTGTAATGATATTCAGTACATTGTGTATGTGTATGAGATTAAATTTGAGACTTCGATCTCTAAACTATGGTGCACCCAGATCACGCCTTTTAGGTAATCGACAAGAGAGTTAGGGGCGCCACACATCGCCCCTATCTTGTGCCTTCTCCAGCCTAGCCTCCATCGCGTGCGCCTCCTCTAGTCGGCCTATCCATGCAACATGCCCCGCATCTACCACCAATGACAATCAGCAACCAATCTAGATCCGACTTGCGTACGCATTTGACGACCATATTTCCTCCCTAGTTGACTAAGTATCGGTCTCCATCGGGATTGAAAAGATTGGATCTAATCTTGGGATCATTAAGCAAATCCATCCATCTCGTTTTGTTTACGGTAATCTATTTTTAAGTTATCCCTTTATTTTATTTTATTTTTTATGTGTATTAAATATGATTCGTATGATTATGTGTCTATAATTAATTAAATGATCGTGTTATATAAATTAACTTAATCTGTTGTTCACGTGTGATGTATCCGAATTGTGTTAATGCATATTTAAATTAAGTTGTTGTTGTGTTTGTTTTTAGGTTGATGATGTGTTAGTTTGGATGTATTTGGATGCTTAACGTTACTATATATATATATATATATATATATTAAATGTGTCGATCTAAACCGTGTGTTGAGACCATTATATATATATATTAAATGTGTCGATCTAAACCGTGTGTTGAGACCATTGTATTGATATTAACGCTATATGGCAATATGATAGAAGGGTATTACATGATGGATACAAGAATAGATATTCTTTAGTGATGAATAGGCGCAAGTTCACTTTCGGACCATTGTCAACTAAAGCTATTTTTAAAGACCAAATGCACATTCGACAAGAATTTGAGGAATTATTTAGCAAAAATGATCATTTGGGGGAGTGTAAGTAAGCAAGAGAGAAAAAAATGAGTTGAGTGAAATGAATGCGGATGGGAAACACAAGGGGGAAATAAAACAAAAAAAAAAAAAAAGCAAAAGTGTTAAGTACGTGAGTTTTTATGCAAGTGAAAGATAGGTTAAGAGAGGTTTAGCTTATAGGTAGCCTTTAAATGTACTTACGTACAAGGAAATTTTGCTTAACACTAACGATATTAACAATTCTTTGCTTAGTGTTATGTTTGATCTTTTACGGGATTATGGTGATTTATTTCCCAAAGAGGTTCCAAATGGCTTACCACCTCTAAAGAGGAACCGAGCATCAAATAGATTTCATTCCAAGAGCAACCATACCAAATAGACCAGCCTATGGATGTAATTCAAAGGAAATTAAGGAGATTCAAAAGCAAGTAAGTGAGCTTATGGAGAAAGGGTATGTTCGTGAGAGCATAAGTCCATGTTCAGTTCTTGTTTTGTTAGTACCTAAGAAGGATGGGTCATGTAGGATATATGTTGATTCTCGAGCCATTAACAAAATCACTATAAAGTATAGACACCCTATTCCAAAGTTAGATGATATGTTAGATGAATTGCATGATTCATGTGTGTTTTAAAAAATTGATTTGAAATTTGGTTATCTTTAAATTAGGATGAGAGAGGGAGATGAGTGAAAAACTGCATTCAAAGCTAAACAAGGTTTGTATGAGTGGTTAGTCATGCCTTTTGGTTTAACTAACTCACCTAGTACGTTCATGAGGTTAATGAATCATGTTTTACACGCATTCATTAGCAAATTTGTTGTAGTTTGTTTTGATGATATACTAGTGTATAGCATGAATTTAGATGAGCATATAACACATTTGAGGGTTGTTTTTTATGTACTTAGGAAGGAAAAGTTATATGCTCATTTGAAGAAATGCACTTTTTGTACTAATGAAATTACTTTTCTTGGTTATGTAGGGAATGACAAGGGTATACATGTTGATCAAGAGAAAGTAAAAGTAATTAGAGAATGGCCTACACCTACATGTGTTAGCGATGTAAGGAGTTTTCATTGATTAGCTAACTTTTATAGGAGATTCATTAAGAATTTTCCTATAATTACTGCACCAATAACTCGAATACATAAAAAAGAATGTGGGATTTAGGTGGGAAAAAGAACAAGAGAATGCTTTTAACTTGCTTAAAGACAAACTTAGTTTTGCACTTTTGCTTCCTTTACCTAATTTTGCTAAAACTTTTGAGATTGAGTGTAATGTAATTAGCATAGGTATTAGGAGAGTCTTGATGCAAGAAGAAAGGCCCATTGCATTCTTTAGCGAGAAGATAAATGGAGCATGTCCGAACTACCCAACTTATGACAAAGAGTTCTATGCTTTAGTGAGAGTTTTAGAGACATGGTAACACAAACTTTGGTGTAAGGAGTTTATAATCCACATGACCATGAATCCTTGAAGTATCTCAAGGGGAAAAGAAAGCTAAGCTCGTAGGCATACTAAATGGTTGGAGTTCATTAAACCATTTCCATATGTCATCAAGTACATACAAGGTAAAAAAAATATGGTAAATGATGCTTTGTCACAAAGGTATACTCCAATCTCATAACTTGATGCTAAAGTGTTAGGGGTTTGAATTCATTAAAAATGTCTATGCTTCGACCCTAATTTTGCCACCGTATATGATGTATGTGAGAAAGGGGTGTGGATAAGTTGTATAGGCATGCGAGATTCTTGTTTAGAGAAAACAAACTTTGTGTGCCATAATGTTCTTGAAGAAAATTATTAATGAAAGAGGCATATAATGGGGGACTTATGGGGCATTTTGGAGTGAAAAAGACTTTAGACATTAGCCCGACATGAGAAGGGATATAGAGAGATTATATGAGAGATGCTTAACTTGTAAACAAACTAAGTCTAAGGTAACGCCTCATGGGCTATATACACCACTTCCTATTCCTATCGAACCTTAAGTAGATATATCAATGGACTTTGTTTTGGGTTTACCTAAGCCTAAAAGTGAAAAAGATACTATTTTTGCTATTGTTGATAGGTTTAGCAAAATAGCACATTTCATACCATGTCAAAAGACCAATGATGCAACACACATAGCATGATTGTTTTTCAAGGAGATCGTGAGGTTGCATGGCATTCCAAGAACAATTGTGAGTGATAGGGATGTCAAATTCTTGAGTAATTTCGGAAGACTTTTTAGGGGAAGATAGGAACTAAGCTCTTATTCTCAACCACTTGTCATTCACAAATCGATGGGCATATTGAAGTGGTGAATAGGAATTTGTCTATACTTTTAAGGGCAATCATCCGGAAAAACTTGAAGAATTTCGAGGAATATCTACCTCATGTGGAGTTCGCATACAATAGAACGAAGTGCATACTACAATTGAACCTTGACCTTTTGAGGTGGTATATGGCTTTAATCCACTCATACTCATGGATTTATTGCCTTTACTAATTGATGAAAAGGCTAGCCTTGATGGGAAAAAGAAGGCTGAACTATAAAAGCTTTACACGAAAATGTGAAGTTGCAAATTGAAAAGAAAACATAACGAGTATGCTACTACACACAATAAGGGGAGAAAGAAGGTGTTATTTGAATGAGTGATTAGGTTTGGTTGCACCTAAGGAAAGAAAGATTTCCTAGCCAAAGGCGATCAAAACTTATGCCTTGAGGAGATGGAACATTTCAAGTGCTTCAACGTATTAATGACAATGCCTACAAACTTGATTTACCAATCGAGTATGGTAATGTATTTGTTACTTTTAATGTGTCTAATTTTTTTTATGTAAGTGATGATTCAAGGATGAATCTTGTTAAAGAAAGGGGGAATGATGGACATCAAGATGGTTCAGCAAGCCAAAATGACCCATTGACTAATTTTAGAGGACCCATGACTCAAGCTAGGTTAAGAAGGTCAAAAAGCTTTGTTAAGCTTTGTACAAGTCATTAACTCAATGGTGGTTCATGGAAAAACGTTTATGGTTTATGACGAGTCAACTATGGTCAAGATGGTTAAGCCATTACCAACCGGGTTGAAGCAACATGAAAATAAAGGGCTTAAAACAATTCAACCTTGTTTTGAACTTGTTGGGTCTTAATTATTTGGAACTTGTTTTATTTTATTTTGTTGAGTCTTATTTCGTTGGGTCTTATTTGTTCGAGCCTATTTTTATTTAGTTTGTTATGTTGAAATTAGACTAGTTTTAATAATATTTGAAGTTGCCCAAATAAGCTATAAGTTTTGGGCTTAGATTCAAGCCTTCTTTATTATGTTCTAATTTATCTTTTTATTTGTGTTAATTTAAGTAAACTAATTAATGAGGGGTGGCTACGCTTAATTCTAGCATTCAATGTTCCTTATAATGATGGAGGTTATGTTCATTATGGTGGAATTATTACCTAATTGGATTGTCAAGGCAAGCGAAGGGATTGTTTTCCCTAAATAGGGTAGTTTTAAAACTTATTTACAAAAATAAGGTTGTCTTAATCTTATTTACCAAAATAAGGTAGTTTTGCCATGTAAGCATCTATGTCATATTTTTAATTAAGTGTTACATTATTAATATTTAATATAATAATTTTAAAAAATAGAAATATAAAAGAAACGATTAACTTACGCTTTCTTTGTCTTCTTTTTGTTGTCTTTACCCTAATTTTTTAAAGTTCAAATACTCTCATAATTCAAAATCATAATTACTAGAAAAGTTCTTTAACATATGAATATTGTCAATTAAGATAATTTTTTAAATTCTTTTTTTTATTCATTTAATTTTTCTCTAAGCTAAACTCGTATGTTACCGTGAGAGAGCCTTCAAAAGGTAATTCTAAGCTAAACTCGTATATTGCTTCCTAGGTTTTTTGTTTTGTTTTGTATATGTTTTGCCAAAAGTTTGTCACAATGGACCAAGTAGTTATAGGTTTTTTGTTTTTTTTTTTTTAAACAAAGTTATGGACAAAACTAGTCATTTCATAGTGGACAAACAAGTTTGTCCATCGTATAACTAGTCAAGCACACAATTAAACTTTTGGCACCGTAATTTCATTTTATTGGTTGTTTAGAATTTATTTGTTGTTGGTTAGCCGCAAAGAAAAATTGTTTTGCCAAAAATATATGAATTAGCATCCATTTTTCCTCCAAGTGCTAATATACTCATTGGATCGCAAAGACAAATTTGTGAAAAAAATTATGCTTGTGGGCGTACCACATCTTCTTATTTTCCCTCCAAGTATCTATTTTCCTCATGTTTTGCTTTTGCTTTTGCTTTTGCTTTGGATTTTATGCCCATTTTATATTTTTGTTAAATTTAATGTAATATTAAATTTTATTTTTTTAGATTGGTAATGACTAACGGAGATATACCAATATTTTGCTATTGGAACGGATATTTTATAGATGGACAAGAAGTACCTTGTTACGATAATCCACGAAGGAAGGCCATTAAGGTGACCCAAGTGATCAAATATTATGAGTTACTAGATAAACTATATGCTATTACAGGATTTGATAAACAACATGTTCAGCTGAAGTTAGTTTGCGGATATCCTACAGCTTGTACAAACATCAATGGTCAAGTAGATTTGAAAGCAAGATGACCTTTTATTTATTTTTCTTATACTTTAGTGCATTTTATTCCAAAATTGTGTAGTGCAATTATTCAAATTCATCGATTCTTTTATTAGCAAATGCAATTTTATTAAATTTAAAGTTAACATTTGAGATAAATTACTAGTTGCAAAATTTTAAGAATACTATAGAAATTAAAATCAACATCTTATTATTATTTTTTTATAAATTTTTTTTGTTTAACCAAAAACCCCTTCCCTCGAAGCTCAAAGGGAAAAAAATAAAATAAAATATTGAAAGTGAGCTTCCAAGCAGAAGTGATGAGAGATTGCTTAAGCTATGCATCAAATATATTAGTACATGAACAAAAAAGGAGCTACTGAAGAACAAACACACTAACTGGAACCCTTAATGACTTGCAACAAATCCAAGCAAATACTAATAGCCATTAGAAAGGCGTGCCTTATTTTATCTCAGTGTGGGATAAAATAAGGGAGCATTATAAGTTTTCTATCACTTGCTTTAATAGATTTATCACGAAGAAGAGAAGATAGAATCATTAATTGAAACAACACATAAACCTGAGGTCAATAATAGAGCTTTATATTGATAAGCAAACATTTACATGTCATTTCCACTACCACTTTAAAATACAAAATATGATACGGACAATAAATAACAGATCCAAGGTTGCTTTGCTCTTCGTTTGAGAGAAGACAAGCAAGCTACTACTGTGCCGACGATGTGACTGCCTCAAGTCGTACTTGGACAACTCCTTGTACTTTTCAATAACACCGATCAAGACTAAGCACACAGTCTGAAAAACTTACAAACCAAAGTAATTAAGTTAAATGGGCAAAAAGTAAAACACTGATTATATCTTTTTCAATTATCGATAAGTTATGACTCCTCCAATAATAGATTATACACAAAACAAGTAATTCTTGTGCTTTGTAGTAAAGAATACATCACAAGTGTAAAAGGCATTTGTAGTGTGTTAAAAAAACAAACAAGGACAAGCCAATTAGTTTGAACAAATGCATGATCACTCATAGGCATTAGGAAATGATTAATTTGACCAAACGCATGATCACTGCAGAAGACAAGTCGCAGCAGGCAAGAGAAAAGATTCTTACCTTGACAATTTCAACTACAATTATCTTGTCGGAATTACCAAGATCAACTTTATGAGGTCCAGGAACAGCATTTGCCACTGAATTTATAATTTTCATCCTGTCAATGCCAGAACTGCAAACTGCACAGAAGGAATCAGTGGTCAAATGGTAGCTCGTCTTGTAAGTATGAGGTGCAACTCAGTTAGTCCTTATTGACTCGGTTGAATTCAGAATTTGCACGTACTTTTTCTACATTTATTCTCACATCCTTGTCAATAATTTGTTTCATATTTTCTTGACTCCGAGGCTCCTGATCATCTTCCCATGCAACTTCTGCAACATAAGAAATGTCCTGAATCAGTGTTCCGTCAGGTCCTTCAATGAATTTCTTCATTTTCAAACCTTTGGGTGTTGTCTTTCTCCACATACCCTTTTTAAACCTGTATATAAGAATCAGATACAGGATAAATATTTGTTAATAAAACACAGAACTTAATTAGCAACTTGATGTGCTATTAAAATATAGTCCTATTCATCTCTTGTAGATTGCATTTGCAAATAAAAAGAGAACTGTTGTACTTTCTAATATTAATAGGAGATGCCTCGGGAATCAAAGCCTCCATATAAGCTTCTGTTAACTCTCTTCTTTCTTGGTCTAGAAAAGGAGCTCGAATGGCAACACAAAAAACAAAGCACTAACTCGTTTAGGCTCCCAATTCTTGAAGTCCTGCAAGTAGAAATTGACTATGTTATAGTTTCAAGAAAAATTCTTATGAAATGACTGCAAAGCAAAGGTGAAAAAAGCTCAATTAAAGTTTTATAGGTTTTTGTACGTGAATCCTATTGTTCAATTCCAATCTTTAAAGTGTCGTTTCTTCATGCCTGTTATTTTCGAAAAGCATTACATTTAAAAATCAAAAGCACAGATGTTAAAGGTTTAACTCTTAAAAAGCAAATTTCCAGGAAGCCTCTGTTTTATTCATAATAAATTATTGTCGTTTTCTTTTTTACCAAAAGAACAAGTATTAATTTCAAGTTACCTATTTATATTTATTAATTCTTTATTCCAAACTCTTAATTCAAGACGTAGTATATGTGTGCATAAAAGGCTTACCCCATAATCCCTTTGCATTATTATTCCAAACTTTTGCTAGTCGAATCAAAACGCAATTAGTCCTCACTAATTGTATTGTCTAGTACTCTTTGTTCTTCAATAGTCTAATAATAATTAAAAAAAAAAAAAATAGATTCCCTAGCTCATGGGAAAAACTCCATTGGAACCTGATAAATAAAACAAACACTCACCAAGAAATGACAGCTATCCATTATTGCATTATGCATGTACATATCCATATGGTGTGTGTGTGTTTGATAACTTGTCATGTAATTTCCAAGACCCGGAGGCAGCACTAGCAGATTTAATTTGCAAGGATGCGTGAAGCTAAGACAGGTAGTCGTCAAGAAGAAAAAAATAAATCATGAAGCATCATAAAAAGCTGGTTTTATCTTCAACAAGAAATGGATAAAACAAGTTATTCCTGTTACAGTTACCGTATTTTTCTCTTGTAAAAAATTTTAACCAGATGTATGGGAAATAGATTATTTCTTGAGTAACCTTACCACCACACCCACCCCCCCAAGAAAAAAATAAATCTCATTCAAAGTTTCTAAAATTTGTAATTTTCCACAACAATTCAAACCTCATTCCTTACTAAGGATCACAAGTCTATATATAACATAGAATGGACAGAAATGAAGCCAAGGAATTACATTTCCATCCAATAAGTAGTTAAATGTTAAAAAAGTTTAGATGAAACAGGAAGTGCTCCTCTTATTGAATCCAGAAGTTCATTGACGCTTAAAATGTCAAGTGTATGGACAGATATTGATGTTTTGCGACCTGACTGGCTTCCATTAAGTTCCATGAAGGTTTCATCATCCGTCAAGGCAGCTGCATGCATGATCTGAGAGAAACCCAATAAAATAAGTGAACTGTCACCACAGTTGCTAGCTGTAAGATGAAAATATTATCTTATCTCTTCAAATGCCTGAAACTCCATTCGGGCAAAAGGGGAACATGGCCTAGGTGTATCCATAAACTGGGGAGCTCCTAATGGATATGCATCATCAGGTGAAAACTCCTGTAGAAGTCGTTTTATGCCTGATAACTCATCCTGGAGGGAAAAAAAAAAAAAAAAAAGAGTGAACTTTCATAAAGAACACCTCAAATGCTGTACAACCCTTTTAAGACAGAACGTATTGTCCTCATTGGAACCTTGTCCCAGGAAAAAAACACAAAGAACTGTGTCTACCTAGGGTCCTAGGCACAAGATTAAAGATTTATCAAAATTAATAAACGAGAATATAGTAATTTACTTTATCAGAATCGAAATCAAGTTCACAAATCCAAGTCTGAATTTCTCTCAAAATCTGAAAGAAGCAAAATCAATGTAAATGTAAACGAAGAGCAAAAAAAAAAACAAAAAGAAGAAGAAAGAAAAAATAGTGAATGTGAAGATTCAATGAGAGAATGGACGATAACCTGAGAGAGAGATTAGAAGATCTTTCTCCTTTGCATTTGCTCTTTCTCGGTCCCGCTAGGTGTGGGTGGAGGCAGTCGTCAACCAGACAGTAGAGACGAGAGAATTTGAAATTTGTTTTGCCTTTTAAGGTTGTGGTTATTGCTGTAAAATTCGTTTTGGCTTTCGACTTAAAAAAATTGGTGATTTTATGGCATTGGAGATGGTGGCGACTGACTGAGTAACTGCAACTTCCTAAAGAGATTTTTTATTGTAAAGAGAAGATGGAGAAAATTTAGGATGATAGCATAATTTCTTTTTAAAAAAATAAAGCTGACGTGTTAAATGGCTCATCGTAGCCTTAAAAAAAAAAAAAACTAACATGTGTTGATGATTTGATTTACGTGACAAACGTTATCTTATTTTGATAAATAAGATTAAAATAACTTTATTTTTGTAAATAAGTTTTAAACTTATCCTATTTTTTTAAAAAAAAAACTCCAAAAGGATACATAAAGGAGGTTACAAGAAAAGGAATATGATTGTCATAATGATAAAGAGATTACGTAAGGGAGGTTATAAAAGAGGCATTATTTATGTTATTTATGAATTTTATTTTCCTTTATTCCAAAATTACCCTTAACCTTTCACTATTTAAAAGCAAAGCTTTATCATTTGTGGGGACAATATATTCAGAATATAATTTTTATACCTTTCTCAAGTGAGAATTGTTTCTTTAAGCTTTTGTTTGACACTTTAAAATGTATCAAACTTTTGTTTGTGGTGTTCAAAATCCAAAACACCTAATAGCTATAGTCTTTATCTTATTATAGATAAAAGGTTATAGTTCTTATTCTTAAAGTCTTTAGCTCAATATAGCTAAAAGGTTTTAAGATTATTTTCTTTGTTTTCTTGAATCTTGATTTATAGATCCTAAACATAAAGAAACTATTTTGGGGGGAAGGGGGGGGAGGGGGTTTGAGTTGTTTAATCTTTATCTCTTTTGGATCAATATATCAATTGGGTTTGAAGTTGCAAATTCAAAGGTACTAATTCCAATTTCATATCACTAGGCACCTTCGAGGTTGTGGGAAAGGAATGATCACTTGAGGAAAATGACTCGTTAATGAAATGATTTGGTGTATACTCTTGGCATATAAAGGAAAATAAGGACACGCTAAGGGACTGATTGGGTATATACTCTTAGCGCGTAAAGAAAAATATTATGAGAAAATACCTAGTGCTTTTGTGAAGTATTCATAATCGCATATTTTTTTAAAAAAAGGTCGATTATATACACAATTGGTAGGATGCACCCAAGGAGGAATATAAATTTCAAAAGATACAAAAATGATTTTTAAATGTAGTGCGTGGATTATACTTAATGAGCATTGCTCACCTTTGTTTCTCATGGTGTAGGAGAAAAGAAAGATGATTAAAGACCATTGTTGAGAAAAATTGAAGATTTAACTTTTGTGTACTTAGTATATTAAAATATGAGAAATTTTACATTTGCTTAACTTAATTTTGGTTATGTATATTAGTAACAATTTGAGCAAATTTTGTTTTATAATAATAAATGGTGTGGTTTGAATGTTAAGTTAATATGGTGATAAAGATTGATTAGTTACATAACTTAGTAAACTCATTGGTCATTTAACTAATTAATATGATTTAAATGAATTAATTGGTTATGGAAAGGAACTAATTAAAGGTTGAATGAAGGTAATAACAAAATGGTTACCTAATTTATTAACTAATGAATCAAGGATAAAAAGTATGAATTGAAATGGTATGTTTAAAAGGGTTAGTAAGATAAGGGCATTCAATGAAATTAATAGTTAATGAATAAATACATTTAATGGATTAGTTTTAAATAAGTTAGGAACCAAAGTTCCATAACTCCAAAAAATATTTTAAATAACCAAAACTCTAGTTAATAGTCCAAATGAATTTATTAAATGCTTAATGGAATTAATGGAATAAATTCCTAACCTATGGAATTTTTATAAAAATAATGACATTAAATCTTGATTTTGGTTTAATGCTTACTATTCATTGATTATTTTCTAATTAAATGCAATACATGGTAAGTAAATTATTTTTTATATGAAAATAATGTCAAATAATCCTACTTTATGGTATGGAATATTTGGAAATGAAATACTCTTAAATTAAATTTTATATGAATTTCTAAAAGGAATTTGAGGAAAATAAGAGATATGATTCAAATTAGCTTAATATAAGATATTTTATTTTAATAATTAATTTGGATTTTTGGTCAAAATATGATATTTAATATTTCTATACATGTTCTTGAAACATTAATTAATGTTAGCTGAATTTTTGAAAAAAATTTATATCTAAGTTTTATTTAATGTGGACCTATTATATTATTAATTAGGGACCTCATACAATAATCCCCACACACTTTGTTAATAAATTGGAAATGTTAAGGATGTTGGCTTGCATTCATTGCACTTCGAATGTAAGTCAATGAATGTAAGCTAATGTCGGTAATATTTACAAATTATCTAGGTCCTAGGTCGATGGTATTACATTGTTATCGGACTTGCCAATCACATATCCTTTTCTGCTACCTTGGCATGGATCCGAACTCAAGTCTATCTAGTATTATTATTCTAAATAATTAATTAATCTTCAATTGTTATCAGTTCTTCCTTTTTTTTAAAAAAATAATAATCAATAACCAAGTAAAATTGCACCTTCGTCGCTTTGGGATTTTGCTCTTGAACGATGAAACAAGCAAGCAGTAATCCATATGTTCATATCAAAGAAAAATATGCTCTTGTATAGAATCTTGTTACTATTTTTCAATTGCCAAGGTATGGTATGGTATGCTATTCCTTTTTTAACAAAACAAGTTTTAAAAATTAATTTTTCACATCACTACTTACGTGAATTTTACATAGCATTTAAAGTCCGGTTATCATGCTTCGTCACCTACCATGTCAGCATTGCCTATAATTTTAGTCGAAGAATCATAGTTATCCTAGTATCATTATTGAAGACTTAGTTGGTGACTTTTCTATCCAAAGTTAAAAGAACAAGCTAAAATCATTAAAAAGTGTAAAGTTCATGATTTTTTGAAACACTAAGCCTTTTTACATATATGAGTTTTTTAGGTATATTTTTAAGTAAATATATTCACATATTTTATTAAAGAGAATTGTTATTAAAATTTTAAGATATAATAATTATCCCCGTTAAATGAATTTATTTTTGAAAAAATTTATACCTTGTTTTAATAAAATATGGACCTAAATATTTAAATTAAATGAGCTTTCGCAAAAATTATTAAGTTATCCGGATGCTACAAAGACACGAGACTCAGCTTTTTTAGTTCATTGCACTTGGAATGTAAAGCATTGTCGATAATATCTTCGAGCTACTTAGTTCTTATGTTGGGAGTGTTATATCGGGAAGTGAAACACAGAATTGGAAGAGAAACTTGAACCAAACTAGATGAAAAGAGGATAAACAATACTTCTATGTTAGGCAAATGTAGTCGTGGGACAAGCATCCTAAAAATTACTCGCATGTGTGGGCTAATTTTAGCATCAATTTGGTTATAATCGAGTGGCTTTTGATAAAGCTCATCAATCCGATTCCAATAGTGTGGCACATGTTAAGGATAGAGATTTAGTGGAGGTTGGTTGATGAGATCTCTCTCTCTCTCTCTCTATTTAGTTTGATTTATTTGGTCGCTAGGTTTATTTACATGGGTATCCATATGTGTGAAATAGAATAGTGTATTTATATTAGAGCACTTAAAGTTGGTTTAGTTTTTTTTTCCCTATCTTTTGTTCTCTTATTTTTTCCTTTTTAGAATCGGGCAAGCCTACTCGGGCTATTCCAAACCCATTTCCTTTTTTTAGGGGTTAAAGAAGCAAGAAATTAGAAGTCCATCTAAAGAAGCAAGAAAATAGATCTAAAGGTAAAGTAGATTTGTGAGAGGCAAATCTAAATTAACTACCCAATTCTTTTTTCATCTTACCAAACCATTTCTATATATTAGGAGTCCATCTAATTTTTTTTATTACCATGTCTCATAAAAAAAAAAATTCCTCAATCGTAAAGTGACACATATTAGAATATTTATATATATGCATATATTAAGTGTAAGTATAATTCTCATTACAGCATGAGAAATTAATGCTTGAAATGTATGATTTATATTAAATTAAAATTATTTTGCTTGAGATTGATGGTTTAATTATTCAAGAAATCAAATATGCAAAATCGGTGTTTTGAGGACTATATTATGTCCAAATTTTATGTGATTTATTCAAGGACTTTAGAGTAACTTCTAGGTAAATCCTAAAGAATAAAAGTTGTTTATTATTTTTAGGCCTATTTATAAAGAGTTATGGCAATTTTAGTACAAGCTGCTTTAAAGGCATCACTCGCTGGAATATTTT